CTCAGGAATTGTAAAAATTACCCACAGAGAAGAATCTATAAAACTAAGCTCTGATTTCTCAGCAGAAACCAGGCAGGCAAGAAGGCAATGAAACAACATATTATAAAACTCAGAAAGAAAAAAAAAAAAAAAATGCCAACCAAGAATCAAATATGATGGTGAAATTAGGATATTTCCAGATAAACAGAAATATAAGGAATTTGTGATGACCAGACCAAAGTTACAAAAAAATGTTTCAGGGTCTTATTTGGACTGAGAACCAACAATAGCAGACAACCTGAGACTACCACAAATGAAAATAGCATCCAGAAGTCAATCCAGCTATTTGGTTGGCTATGTGCCATGGGGTTGGTTCTGATTCATAGCGATCTTGTATATGGGTTTTCGAGGCTATAAATCAAGACTAAGAAGAGGGAACCAGAGATATCAATTTATAAAAGTCAACTACAAAGCAAAAAGAAGAAATAGTATACATACAGAACTTCCAAATGGCAAGTCAGATAGATTTCAAGATAAAACAGACTGTTTTAAATAGGGAAAAAGTAATAAACTACAAGGTAGTCTCAAAGAAAATTAATATAACTGCACAACAAAAATAAAAAAGAGGAAAATCAGCAAGATTTAGAAAACATTAACACAACAGAAATGAACATGAAACAAATCCACAAACAAAATGAACTCAGTACAGTAAATCATGTGAAACAATGAAAACAGCTACAACTCAAAGAAAACCACACACACACACACACACACACACACAAGACAATGACAGCAATCAATTAATACTGAATGATAATTACACTGAATATAAATGAATTCAATGCACCAGACAAAAGATAAAAAATAACGGACAAGAACACAGGATACTACTGGATGCTGTGTATAAAAGACACATCATAAAGATGGAGACAATCTAAATGCCCATCAACAGAAGAATGGTTAAACAAACTTTGGTACAGGCACACAATGGAATACTCTGAAACACTGATGAATCTATGCAGTACTTCAAAACATGGATAAACTTTGCGGACATTATGCTGAGTGAAATTAGTCAATAACAAAAGGATAAAAATTGCTTGAATGCAATACTATAAAATGTTAAGAAAAGGATTTCTTGATTAAAAAAAAAAAACATCTATGATGCTTAGGGTGGGGATAAGTGAAAATTATTTATGGACTAGAGAGTAAACACATGATAACCTCGGTGACAGAGCAAGCAATACACAACAAGAGGAAAGTTGCAAGTGGAAAGATGAAGGCAGTGGGAGACATGGGGGATGCAACAGTTAAAGTGAATAGAGGTCAGTATTATTAACTGATAGTACATGGAGGGGATTGAAATCATTGTAATGAGCAAAGCATATGATTTGATGAATGCAAGACTTATGGTCTGCTCTGTAAACCTTCACTCAACTCACAATAAAAAGTTAAAAAAGAAAAAAGATGGATTTCTTGACACCTAAGTATTTCTTAGATCCATCTTTTAAAAGTCTGGGTGCCTCTTAGCAGACCACAGAGGCCCAAACACCACCTCCAGCAGAAACTCAGCATTAGTACACTTCCTGAGGGGTTTCTGTTTCTACTGAATTCTTGTTCCGCTACTCCCAAGCACTGCATTCATCCTAAACTGAAAAACCCAGTTAAAATTATTTCAGGATCATTTTCTTAAAAACACACTACTCCCCACTCTCTTTTCCTGAGACTTACTTAAGAATATAAGCATCTGGAAAACTCCTGGCCCTAGATCTCGAACATTCATCATTTTAAGCACTATCACTGTGACTGGAAAGCAGAAGGCAAGTAGGGGTTTCCTCCCTCATTTTGTCCTCTTTCATGTGAACACTCAAAAGAAAGGCCTAAAAGCCCTAAGTTCTGAAAGCAGAATACTCACTTACTTCACAATAAATGGAGAACACAACTCTTCCAGGATCCTCTTCTCTGAGTAAATGTGTTCTTGTTGCTTGGTGTCAACTATGTGTTTCTTCCTTATACACTTCATAGCAAAAGCAACATTCTCATTTTTTACTTTAACCTATGTAAGAATCAGAAAGATGCTCAAAGTTAATTTACTAGTAAAGAGCTGCAATATCTTGATAAAGTAGGTTAATTTTGAGATATGTAAATGTCACATATTCATTTAACCACTTATCCATCTGAGATCTGATTTCCATTCAGATATGCACACTTTCAAAATAGTTTACAAATATGATTCTACAGTTTTTGTTAAGCAAAAAAAACCAACAACTCTCGGTTAGAAGACTCAATGTTTAGATTTTCATTTTATGACACTAAAAACTTTGTAATTGACAAAACATTGCTCTATCTTTTTTAATATTCACTTGTTTGGCTTTCAAAACAGAACATATAAATCAAGCTCTACTGCTGCACTATGTGCTAGAGGCTAAGTTCTGGACTGCCAACTGCAACGTTGGTGGTTCAAAACCATCAGCTGCTCCTTGGAAACCCTATGCAGGGCCTCTATGAGTTAGAACTGATTGAATACCACTTAAAAACAACAGCAACAGTCTCATCAAGTTATTTGAAATTAAGTTAGTTAAGATGAACAAAAAATTCTGTGTCACAGTCAATATTTCAAATGTTCAACAGCCTCAGACAGCTACCCTATGGGGCTCCACAGATACAGAACATCTCCATCAGTGTAGAGAACTTGATCAGAGAGGACTGCTCTTAAAGGTTAATCTGACTTTTCCTTAAGAAGGAAAGAAACATTTAAAAATAGGTATTTGTTCTAATAGGCTTTCACACTCCATACGCTGACTATATTTGACAAGTAACAAGGGTGTGCAGAAATAATGAATGCCATATTTCGCTCTCATTCTCCATTAGTGCTGCCTAAGATTTTTGTATCAGTGAAGGGACTATTGCTTTTGTTAAGTGCTGTTAAGTCGGTCTCAATTCATAGTGACCCTATCTGGTTTCCAAGGAGGGACTGGTGAGTTTGAACCACCGACCATGAAGTTAGCAGTCCAGTGCTTATCCTACAGTGCTACATCGGGGCTCATGATGTGATTTGTGTTTTAATTATTATTGTCTAATTATAGAAGAAAACAGATCTCAGCATTGTTCATTCAATCCTTTTGCCAACATCTTTGGTGAAAACTATCACTGCAGATGGATATTACTCTTATCTCTCCATATGGCTCAAGAAATGTTACAGATATCTCTTGCCCTATTAACAAACCACTCCTCTCAACCCCCAACCATCAGGAATGAAGTTCTGACTAGGTGTGAAGTGTATTATCCATAGTCTTCTGGCAGCATTTCAGATCTGCTTGTGTTCAGGCCCATCCAGCAGATGGAAGTGTCAATATTGTTCCTGGAGATTAATGTACTAAGAATTGTTAAAAATATGATGGGCAAAGAAAGACCTGCTAATTGTCAAGGGTGCAGAGCCATCTGCACCCAGGAAGGGCACTGATCTCCATTTTAGTTTCCTCAGAATGCTTGGTCTGACAGCACCATTTGCACTGTTCTGTGAAAGCGTCTTATATAATAGCTAAGAGAAGTGGTGACTTGGAAGATGAAACAGGAATCACACACCAAGTTCCCAGCTGTCCTGGTACACACTACAGAAGGCTGCTCATCAAATGTCCTCATGCACTCATCTTCTTTACTTTTGTCTCATAGAAGAAAACTGAGCAACCCAAAAATAGCATAATGAAAGCCAAATCAATTTATAAAGATAGCAGTGGAGGTCAAGAGATTTAACTGCAATATTCAAGATTTTATTTCGATGCCACTTCTACTTTTCTCTAGTATCTTGAGAGTCAACATATCTTGAGGAGACTTGGTGGAGCAGTGGGTTAAGCATGGGACTGCTAACTAAAAGGTCAGTGGTTTGAACTCACCAGCTGCTCCACAGGAGAAAAAAGTGGTTGTCTGATTTCAGTACAGCTTTGGAAATCCTATGGGTAGTTCTACTGTGTCCTATAGCATAACTATGAGTCAGAATAAACTAGACAGCACTGAATAATGTGTCATAAGTATTATAAACTTATTTTTTATATTTTACAGGCTTTTGGATGCCTACTTGGTACATACTCCAATAGTTATAATTAAAAAAAAAAATTCACAAAGGATGTGAAGTATAAAGCTTGAAACAGCAGCAATCTTATTAAGGTTACAAAGCACAGACCTGCTATTATGCAAAACACAGAGTAAAAAGTGAATTTTTCAATTTCAGTCCAAAGTAAAGTTTTAGATAACAACTGCAATCCATATATTCCTCTAAGATACACTGGAATATAAAACAAAATAAAAGTCAAAAGGCTTCTCTCAGATGCTTGAAACGTAAACCCCTTACAAGCTCAACTCTTCCGAACCCACCAACGCCCAGTGTTGCAATAATCTCAAGGTTCTGGAAGGGGGATGAGGAGGAAAATCTGGCCACCTTCTCCTTCAGCTGAATCATCTCCAGAGAGAGTGCTTTGGACAGCTTCCAGTTAGACATGGACCTCCTGTAGAAGAGATGTGACACTTTATGTTGTTGTTAAGTGCCTTCAAGTCGTTGCCAACTCGTAATGACCCTGTATAGGGAGGGCTTCCAAGGAGCGGCGGATGAGTCTGAACTCTTTAATTAACCAAGCAAGGGTCCCGCCATATATAAATTCCACTCTTAGAACAATCTTATTTCTACCAGAAATGTCTGCCTTTAGGTGTCACAAAGGCTGTCAAGCCCATCTGAAGAGAAAAACAAAAGAATATACAAACAAAAGCAGGAACACACACGCACGAAACAGGCAAATGTCAAATAGAGTCAATGAGAGGTAAAATAGGTGAATTGTGACATATGTCAAATATACCTCAGGAAAGTTTTGGAGAGAAAACAAAGTAAAAACACTGAATGAGAGAATGAGAAGGAATGAAAGCAGAGGGCAATTTCCTTTGTACCACAGAAAGGACAATGCCACACTGAGAATCTTTGCTGCAGTTTGCTATTTTTGTCAGATCTTGAAGCTTTCCATGGTTGAATCAGAATCATAGCTTTTTATATTTGTAGAATATAAAAAGGACAGAGCTCACTTTATCTACAAATACTGTTGTTTTGAAATCTCCATTTTTCTCTTTTAATTAATGTTTACTGCTATGGGTTAGGCATTCATAAATTATTGTTTCTATGAAAAGCCTTCAGGATACAACATACAAATTTGTTCTTTGCAAAAAAAAAAAAGAGGTTCTGACTGAGTGCTCTAAATTGAATTCAAACTTCATTCCTACTCATCATACAAAATGAAAGAAATAAAAAATAACCCATGATGGTAGCAATTGTCATTCCCTGTGTAGATGAAAAATTACAAAGTATTCCTCAAAAAGGCCTAGTGAAGGGATGTTAAAAGTAACATAGTAAATCACACCTCTTTCCCACTTGTTGACTGTTAGAAGTGTACCTGGCATAGGAAAATAAATATTCAATCACTTACTTCGCATGTCTTTTTTCATCATCACGATTCAGGTTTGCCACATAACCCTCAAGGTATTTTTGGAGTTCTTCAAATGTCCCCACCGTTTGGTTAAATGTTCTAAGGAAACAAAATAAAATGGGATGAAAAGTTCCATAATGACTGGTACCATTTCACTTGACCTTTTCTCTCAAGCTCAGTAAAGACTACTTTTATGGTTATTTCAGTTTTGTAAATTGTTGTTCAATATTCAAAGGGATATTAAAGTTGTCATACTATGTAAATAGTTATGGTTGTTAGGAGTTCAGTCAGCTCCCAGCTCACAGGGTCCACATGCACAGCAGAAGTATAGGCTGCCTGTTTCTGCACCATCTCCATGAAAGGTTTTAGATCAAACCATTGTGAGCCATATGGTTCAGGAATCAGATCTCCAAGACTTTCTTTTGAGTCTTTTTTAGCCCGGAAGTTTGGCTGAAATCTGTTCAGCATCATAGCCAGAAGCAAGCCTCCACTGACAGACATGTAGTGGTTATACATGAGACATATTTATTGGGGACTGAACCCAGCTTTTTGGCATGGAAGGTGAGATTTCTACAGTTGAATCTCCAATGTCTATGAAAGTAGTTCTTGTTGTGGCTGTTAAGTGCCTTCTGTCATTTCTGGCTCATAGCACTCCTGTATGGGGTTTCCAAGAAGCAGCTGGTGGGTTTGAACTGCTGACCTTGTTGTTAGCAGTCCAGTGCATATCCACACAGGACTCTAGACTACTTATTGTTATTGTTGTTAAGTGACTTTGAGCTGGTTCCAACAGAAAATTAGAAATTATAGTAAAAATAAATGATGCTTTTACTTTGTGTTGTTTTTACTGATTCTGTATTGTTGCAGTTAGCTGTCACTGAGTTGACACCAATTCAATCTTATGCATAGCAAAGAAACCATGTCCATCTTCATGATGGTTGGTATATTTATTCTAGACTTCCACAATTACTTTACATATTTTATCATATTTTCTAAAATACAAAACTTAGCTCAACTTTAAATCTTCTTATTTTGCTCACTCTAAGCATTTATTAAAATAATAAACCAGGAAAGAAAAAAAAAAAGTCAGGGACTTTCAGTCACAAAGACAGTGATTGCCCTTTATTCTGCCAACATCTGGTCAGCACCTCCCCTATGCCAAGGGCTATTTCAAATGCTGGCTCTATAGCAGCTGTCAACAAGACTGCCCTGGTGTTTACACGCATGGGAAGACAGATGTTAAATAAAGCAATTTAATGAAATGTAATTAATGATAAGAATATATGTGCTATGGGAGCACCTAGACTCCTCACTATAGCAAGGCTGATCATATAATTTGTCATCCAAACTAGAACACATTTCAGAGTGTAAGGGAGTGTCAAGAGTAAATATGGTGAGCTAACTAGAACTCTCCCACAAAATCCAGATGGATGCCATCCTAGTTATAGCTGGCTCTTTATATTTCCTGACTCATCAAATAGATTCACATACCTTTTTATGTCTCATTGTACCTAAGGCAATATTTCATAAATAAAGGGTCTCAAAGATACACTGGAAATTTAATTAACCATCTTACAATTATAAATTTCCAAATATTCTGCAAACTACACAAAAGATGAGGAGACTTCAGAAAGTTTGTGGAAAAATAGAATTACAATATAATGAGATCTGGGCTCATGGAAGGAGGGGAACTGGGTGCTGGCAGACAGGAGGCAGTCTTGCAGAATGTGCCCTTTGGTTGTTTAAATTATTATATCTTCCTGAGTGATTCTGTGTATATCCTTCCACCAAAACAACAACAACAAAAATAAAAACAAAACAGGGATTGGAAGCAAGTACTGTTGCATGATGATGCATGGAAGGAGACTGTAATCACTGCAATGAAACAATGGTGTAAAGCCGATGTTCTCCCATGTAAACTATCACTCAGCTCACCATAAAAACTTTTTAAAAAAGTAATCTTTCATAATCTTTTTGAAGCCCCATCATAATTACATTCTTTTAACAGAGTATGAGTACAGGAAACAGTACATAAATGTGTGATGTATATGATTACAATGACAAAAATGAAAATAATTATTCCTTTTAGGCCCTGTAGCACACACACACACACACACACACACACACACACACTTCTCACTTACTGACATAGGATTTAAAGACCAGACAATCTGAAAATTGGCATTATGGGAAAATGGAGGATATCCACATCAGATCACAAAATGGAGGATGATTACATCATTCCCTAACTGCTGAATTACATCATTCCATGACTGCTCACCCACTGAGAATCATGATCCAGACAAGCTGACACATGACCTTGACCGTCACAGCAAGTGTCACTCTTACCTTGCACTGCATTTTTCTTTACTGCCATGTGTATGTTGTTAGTACACAAAATAATTATGTCCTATTGTTTACTATTTTCATAAATGTGAAAAGTCGGATAATGAGACAGTCAATGAACGAGGTGTTGTTGTTGCTGTTGTTTTTATTAAGGACTGCTGAGTTGGTTCTGACTCACAGACAGAAGCAACTGGTGAGATTGGACCATCAAACTTGCAGTTAGCAGTCCACTGCTTCTACAGGGCCACTCTAAGACTCCAAATGAGGAGCTGTTGTTGTTAAGTCGGTTCTGATGTAGCAATCAAGTATAGGGCTTCTGAGGAGTAATTGGTGAGTTTGAACCACTGGCCTTATGGTTCAAACTGACCTTGCGGTCCAGTGCATTCCATATTCCTGCAGTGCCAAACCACCAGGATTCCAAAATGAATAAGGGCTTCAAAAAGGTTCCGACAATTTCATATCATTTTATTCCATTTTTCCAAGAACTTTTTGAAACCCTCTCATACATTTATATGAGAGTGAGTCAAAAACTATCTGCACTCCAGTTATATTATAATGCCCATCCATGTCCACAGTCGATGGCAACATTGAGCATGCACATGAAATGATTCTGTCCAATAGACACGTGACAGTGGATTATGTGGCAAATTATTTGCAATCTAGCTATGACTCTGCCTATGAAATAATCCACTGCACAAACAAAATGAACTCAGGATAAAAGATTACATGGAGCCAAGAAACCAGCAATACCACACACACAAAAAAAAATAACACTACAAATTGACAATAATTAATTTATACCTAATTCTAATTACACTGAATACAAATGAATAAAATGTACCATTAAAAGACAGAATACCAGAATGGATCCTTCAATATGCTGTTAACAAGAGACACACCTTACACATAAAGACAAAAATAGACTAAAAACATGACAGACTTGGGTTTCAAAAAACTTGTTCTAGACAGGTACCAAAACAACTCACAGGAAAGCATAAATAGAAGCATTTGGACTTCTGAAAACAAAATTTGGACCAATACTGGAAGGAAAGTAAAAGTTTCTTTGAAAAAGTCACTGGTGATGAGACACAGATTCATCACTACGAGCCTAAGAGTAAACAGCAAAGTATGGAATGGAAACATCATCAGTCGTAGACCAAGACAAAGTTCAAAAGTCAAACATCAGGTGAAAACCTGATGCTTACAGTTTTCTGGGATTCTCAAGGGTCAATATTGTAACACTATCTAACACTATCAGGAAAAAGATTCAACAATCAACAATGCTCATTACAGTGAGGTGCTCACTAAAGAGCTGAAGCCTAAACTTTGGATTAAAAGCAGAGGACTGCTATCCAAGGGCATTATGATCCTGCATGAAAATATATGTCCACACACCTTTGCCCATACTGTTGACACTCTGCAAAAACTTCATTTTGAGGTGTTAAAACATCCTCCTTATAGTGATGATCTTGCTCCATTGACTTTCACCTGTTTGGTTCCCTGAAAGCAGCCCTCGGAGGAAAAGATTCACCACTAATGAAGAAGGAAAGATAGTGGTGCATTCATGACTTGCAGCTCAGACTAAAATATTTTTTAATAAGGGAATATGAAAGTTTGTTGACAGATGGACAATGTTTATTGAAAAGCAAGGAGATTATATCGAAAAATGATTTATTGATCTTTTCTAAAAGTTGATTAAAATAAATTCTACAGTCAGAGTGCAGATAATTTTTGACTTACCTTCATATAAATATATACAACAGAACTAAAACCTAAGCCCACTACCATCAAATTACATCAAATTAATTCCAACACCAAGAGACCCCAGGGTTTCTGAAACTGCAAATCTTTACGAGAACCCAGTCTCTTCTTCTCTCACAGAGATGGCAGTTTGTTTAAACTGCTGTCTTGCAGTTAGCAGTCCAGTGCAGTGCAGTGCAACCAGGGATCACTCTCTCTGTCTCTCTCTCTCTCCAGATATAGATAGATAGATAGATAGATAGATAGATAGATAGATAGATAGATGATAGAGAACGAGAGACAGACAGAGAGAGAGAGATGTATATACATATACATACATCATACATACTAGAGTACATGTGGTGGCTCTGTAGTATAAGTACCAGATTTCAAGACCACTAACCATGTAGCGTAGTGGTTATGAATCGGGCTGTGAACCGCAAGGTCAACAGTTTGAAACTACCAGCTGTTCCGCGGGAGAAAGATGAGGCTTTCTGCTCCCATAAAGATTTACAGCCTAGGAAACCCTGTACAGGGTCGCTATGAGTCGGAACCGACTCCACGGCACATAACAACAACAACAACAACAATGCTATAGGAGAAAGATGAGGCTTTCTGCTCCCACAAAGATTTAAAGCCTCAAAAAGACTACACAGGGTCGCTGTGAATAGGAATCAACTCGATGGCACTTAGTAACAATAGATACATACATACACACACACACACACACACA